TAGCACAGGTAAACACGCTTTAGAGCAGTGCTTTGGTACCTACTTATATGTAGTACAAATTATGCATGATATTAATCCAAAGTCAAAGGCTCATGATTTACCACATGCTTCATTGGACTGGAGCCCACCAGAGTCAACAACATTTCAAGCCATGGTAACCCCACAGCTTAGCACTGTTCAGTATGTGAGTATACTCTAGATTATCCCCGGCTTCCCCAATAAAGGATCTTTGTGCTAATTAGAACCAGGTGTTCTTATCACAAGTCCTGGGATCCTCCAAAAATTATATGCAGTGGAGGTGCAGGGCAACCTGTCCAGTTTTACCTCTGGGAGGGGAGGGCCACACTAATCATATGTCCCAGGATCAGAGGGCACGGTGGAGGGATTCTGAGTGACCTGTATGCAGTGTGGTGGTTCACCATGACTTGGGAAAAATTGGTGTGGAGGGGAACTGTGTTTAATGGGCACTACCATTTTTGTTATTCAGATGGGCTAGACTAATCGATTCTTGTGGTAGGTGCCTAATAGCATGTTTGCCCAATGTGGACCATGTGTTTTATAGTCATACTTAGTGCTGGCTGCATGTATTCAACTTCATAGCTGGTTTCCATTGCTGAGCATATGCTATATTTGGCAGCAACATAATGACAGACTATGTATTTAGTGAGATTTCCTTGTATACCATTATAAGATGAGGGGCTTTTTTCCCCATGCCAGTGGCAGGGGTGGGGGGGGGGACCTCATCTTTTATTCAAGTAAACTGGGTACTACTAACTCTGGTCATCAATAAATGCATCAGTCAATCATAAATGTAAAAAAAAGATGCGAGAAGAAACACCACCTCAACCATCACCTAAAAATCATATTAAATCCAAAGCATATCTGCTATCACACCTAAAATCAAATTATATACAAAGCATATCAGATTTCAGGTACAAGGAGCTCCTTCCACAAAACATCTAGAAGCAGCTAAGAGATCCAAGAGTCCTAGATTGCAAACCTGAGTAGAAAATAGTAGGCAGATAGTTCTGATCTGATTGCTTTCACCTGCAAACATAAGCTTTTACTTATTATGACGAAGTGGAGGGGGCAGAATTGGGCCACTGAAATCCAAGAATAAATAGCAGAAGGCCACAAGAGTAGCAGCTTCTAAATAGACACGGAGTGGGGCTCTCTCACATGGGAGTAAAATATTAGAAAGGGCAATGTATTATGCTTCTTTCTGTCTTTTCTTTAGCCATTTCAGCTTCCATTATTCTTCCAAAGTTTCCAAAAAAAACTTTTCCTAACCTCCTGTTGCAACAGTTGTTGTTTCCCTGGGTATTTTACTGGGAAAAGTTCGATTTGATTTTTTAAATTATTTTTTAAAAGTTCCAGATACTGCTGTAAGACATTGTTGAAAACCTGAGGATATAAAGAAAACCCCCATGTGTGGGGCACGCATACTGTTCATGTTCCATCAGGTAATTCTTCCAACATTACAACAAATCCTCTAGCAATGCTATTAATAAACACATAGATAATGTCTTACCTGCAAGACTGCATAAGACCAGCAAGGCTCTGAAAGAAACCCACATCCTTTTTGTCCTTAAGGTAGTCCAGCATTTTCTGCAGAAAACATAAACCACATACTCATTGAATATGTTTGTTATCTGCTTTCTACATTGCTTATTATGCTAGCTGAAAAATAATGATGATGGCATATATGCATTACATAAAAAAGGCTCACTGAGAAATATCTTGCTACCATAAGTGGAATGGATTTTTTTTTAATATACACCAACCCTTCTGAAGAAGGCCATCATATTTTAGACTTTCCTGAAAATAAAAACAACACTAACCTCAGCATATAGAAAACTAAATACAAAATTTAGCACGTAAAATAGTTTCTCTTGTTTACTCTTTACAGTTTTATGCACATACACAAACATGTTAATTTCCTAAAATACAGAACGGAAGAGAGGAAAGGTTGTTATTTCATTTTTTTAAAAATATCTCTGATATTATGATCAAAGGGTTGGGGTGATATGACGATGATGTAAGAAAGAGACAAAATAGACATACTAACTGCTATAAAGGAAAAGACACTGCAAAAGCACACACTCAGATTGAAAAAACAGTGGCATCATTTTCAGAAGTACCAACATTCAGAAGCTGGTTATTAAAGCAACGATTCAACACTAAACCAATATTAATTCAAGCATGTATAGGCATTTTGAGGATTCAGATTGTTAACAGTTATTTTTTGTCAATCCAGTGTCTAAAGAGGACTGACTCCAAAAAAGGTTAACTATTTTTCAGTGCAGCACTACAGAATGTGATTGGAGCAGAAAGTGGCACCTGGGGCTGGAAGAGGTCCTGGACAGACATAATACTAGGATTGCTTTGCTGAAGCACTTGAAGCACTAGAAAAATGTAGCACTAGAGATGCAGACAAACACAACACATTCCCTCAACTGCCCAGCTCCTGCCTGGAGCACTTCCAGTGTGCTTTCCAGCCACAGAGTACAGGAGGGGATTGCTTGGACTGGAAGACCAGGAAGGGATGCAGCTGAGCCTGCTATAACCCTAGTTTTCCTGAACATTGTGTCTTTGCTTCTCCATCCTCAGCTGGAACCAGAGTCAGAGGAACTTGTAGGAATTCCTGATATTCAGCTTCAGCAGCACTCATTAACTGCCCACCCCGCTTCCTCTCCTTCTCCTCTTGGATGGATGGAGAGAGAGAAGAGCTGGAGAGACAAAAGCTGTGGGATGATGGGGTAAACAGGGATGGGGGGTGTCTCTGTGGACCCTATTACAGTCACTTGTAGCCCCCCTCTGCCCCCCATCACCTACCATGAGAAGCTCCTGCTCCGGGAGGATCCTACCACCTGACACAGAGCCAGAGCTGCTTAACACAGGCAACAAGGAGGCTGCACTAGGGTCCACAGAGCCTGGCTGTTAGGAATACACAGAAGGAATACACAGAATAACAAAATATACTCTACCTAGAGTACCAAAATGAGACTTTCACTTCATACTCCTCAGTCCTAAGGAAGAAGTGTGAGGACAAAGACCACCTGACAAACATTAGTCATATTGCTTAATGCACTACTGGAGGATATTCAGAAATCATGGCAAGGAGAACAATAAAGAACCTATATAAAGCAGTATAAACAAATGAATGGCTTATGCTCAAACACTATACCTGCTGAACTGTAGAGTTTCCTCCATTTAAGATGGCAATTCCAAGCTTTAGAGTAGCTGCAACCATTGGACCCATCTCACCTTAAAAATATGAAACCAATACTTTTCAGATCATATTTAAATGGAGACAAACTTATTCTACTAACTTATTCTGGTTTAAGACATGCACAGAATGCATTGATTTGAATAACAATATGCAGGAACAAGCCATTTAAAATAGTCTCCCTTGTAAAATAGATGCATCTGTTCTTCACCATCCTTAGTGTATGACTTAGACTTAGTCACACCACAGAAAATGGCAGCAGTGCACTTTTGAACTAAAACACCTTTTATTCGTTTTAGCTCAAAAGTACGCCACCGCCATTTTCTCAGCACTGATGCATATTTTGCCACTTACATAACTGTAAATGATGTAGCGCCAAGCACCTGGCACCAAGGTGCTTGCATGTGTAAAACTGCCCAGTAGGGATACACAGAATAACAAAAGGTGCAAACTGCACAAAAAAAGAGAAGAGAAGAGAAGACAAAAGACAGGACGAACTGTGTTCAATAATCATAAATCACTCTTCAATCATGACAGCCTCAAACAGTTGGTTCTGAGGTTGGACTCACAATTTGAAGTTGACTGTCAACTTAATTAGGTGTTCTCACTGTATGTATCTGTGGACAGACCTTTGACACTTCCTTAGGGATCGACAGTAAGGTGAAGTATTTATAGCATCTAAAGAAAATTATAATGGACAGCTTTGTTTAAAGAACACTGTTCTGGAAACAGAGCGCAGAAAGGAAGATGGAATTGATGAATGACAGGTATAAGGCGGTGTCTAGTTGACCAAAGCCTAAAGCTGTGTTTTAGCAAAGAACATTGCTGAGGAAGGGGATGGAAGAACAGATAATAAGTGGGGATGGGTGAATTTATTTGAAAAAGAACCAAAAAAAACATAAAGGTCAGAGCCTGTTTCAAATGCACAGATGCATAAAACCCTTCAATTTGGGGGCCTCGCTTGGCATTGCATACTCTCAACACACAACTATGACCAACCAAATACCTTTCTTTTACCTCCACAATATTTGGATTCCAGGTCTTGATCAGAAAAAACTAAGAAGTTAACTTGTGAGGAATCACAGCCAAAATTTGCTGGATAAGCTTCCAAATAAGCATGCAAAATTTGGATGTGTACTTGAAGAGAAACACAAACAACTTTTTCATAAAAATTAACAACTGGTTTACCTATCAAAAAATATGATTATTTAGAAGATAACCCCAAAGATCATAATTTAAGTGGCAGGAGTTTACCTTTGCTGGCACTGATAGTCTGAAGTACCATCTCCGCAGCACCCCGATCATGCAGTCTGGCTTGCTGGTACAGAAGTTTTTGCTTTTCCATTTCCTTTTCCTGAACAGAAATCCCAATCATTTAAATTAAGGACATCAATGGCTATCAGCTCTCCAACGATTTTTTGTTCTCTCTTAGTATATGGGCTCTATTGCAACGTCATAGACCAACTGAACACAAAAAATGGTACTGATCAAATACTTAACACATTAAACAATATTTCCCTCTGTGTTTTTCTTTCTATACTTTTAGTGCTTGGTTTATCTGGAACAAGTTGTCTCAGTTGTAAATATTTAGATTAGTTCAAAGCCCATAATTCATAGTATATGTACTGCATACATTAAACTGTCACTTTTATGCTATGGTTTTGTAAAACCTTACATTAATTATTACATTAATAATTTGTAAATTTGTAAAACCTTACATTAATTATTACATTAATTAATAATCTTCTACATAGTGACTATTACTTGATACTGCTCAGCACGTGGCTCTTGAGTTACAAGTTGTCACCAAATAACAGAACAGATCTTGGAGAATTTTTTTTTTCCAAAATGTATAATTAATTGGCAGTAGTATATTTTGAGTGTGAATCTGACTCATAAGACAGTATAGGTTTTCCCAACCCACATCATTCCCCCAAAATATATTCAATAGAATATATTGTGCCTTTATATATTGCATTCTCTGGTGGCAACAAACAATACTGCATGGGGCTGCTTGAGCGATGGCTGACGTTTGTTCTCTATAATTCAAACTACCACTGAAAACATAAAGAGAAAATAAAAAGCAAACATAAAGGCACAGGTCATTTTAGAGGCTTTCACAAAGTTAACTGAAGTTTGCTGGGGAATTGAGAAAGACTAAGCAGTATTAGTTGCAAAATGGAAGTTGCATAGAGCCCTATGAGAGCGAGTCCATCGGATGATGTGGTAGAAAAGCTTAGTCAATGGGACATGACACAATCATTTAGTATCATGTCCAAAAACACAATGGCCAAAACATGTATGACCTAAGAGCAGAAACAGCTGCAGCAGAGGTAGCCAGAGTGACAGCTTTGCTGCCATAAACTTTCCATCCAAAGTACAAAAAAATAGACACTGGAAGATGGAAGAGGTTTAAAAAATGAAGGCTTGCTAGATACAGAATATGAAAAGTAAAAATAATCAAGAAGAGGGGAAAAGTAGAAATGAATTTAAATGAATGAAAAAGTAACCTTTAAATTAAAGCAAACCAACACAGACATTTATGCTGTTACCAGAGAGTTCTCGCCGGGGCTGGCAAATTTGTTTCTTAAATCTTTGATAATATCGTGCTGCGGAAACAAAATTCATCAGGGTTTTTTTTTTCACACTATTAGAGCTCCTGTGGTTAAATTTTATGTTTTTTCCTTAAATTATGTGATAAATCTAAATGGTGACACAAAAAAGGAAAAAAAATATGGCAGCTTTGCTTTATATGTAGCCATGCTAACATCTGAAAGTTTTGCCTTCATGTTTAAACCTCTTCCTGTGGATTGAAAAACAAAACAAAACTACATACACACACACACATACACACATCACCAAATAATCATTACAACACAGTTTCAGTAAAACTGCAATAAAATATTTTCATCTGCTTTAGAGGTCACTTAAAACTGATAAACATTTTCCCTATTTTTGTTTTGCTTTGTTTTTAGACCCAACAATCTTTTATTTCTCTTCCATTGCAAGATTTATTTACTTTTGCCCCCTGCCTATATCAGCCATGTTGGATTTAATATCAAGGATTTTTTACTGATGGTGCAACAATGAAAGCTTATTAGCTTTCTCACCACTCAATCATTTGAAGATCAAGAAAATGTGTAGATATAATACCAAGAATTGCACAGCAAAAGAGAAGTAGGAAGAAACTCTACTAAAAGAATTGAAGACATGCTGGAGAGAAAGCTATTTCAAGGAGTTTGTGTGAAATGATGCCATTTAGATAAATCACCAGTGACCGTATGGGGCAGAAAACGAGCAGTTGATCAGTCCTTGGATAACATCTTCCACATCTCTTATTTCACCTTTTAGCCTTCTACATATTGCCACCATTGCAGCTCTAGGACTAGCATCTGTACTTAACAATGTTTTCTCAAGTTAGTCGCAAGTAGAGGAGGAATTAGTTTGCTATGTGGCAAAACTAGATGCTAAATCTGTTCTGCATTAATGTCTCCATTAAAAATTAATCTTCAAACACTTATCATGTTGCAGTATCCAAGATATACAATTTTTACTGATACATAGAAAAAAATAATTGCAGTACATCAAAATAACATTAGTTAGGGATTGCTGGCACAGGTTGATGATATTTTTATTATAAATCCCCATGTGTCCTATGCACAAAGAGATTTTTTAAAATCACCTAAACTTCGCGAGTTTATAAATGTTTTCTCTGGCTATGGGTATAACCAAGATTGATGCTGTTACTTTTGCATTATACATTTGCTGCTTCTTTACATTATGGAACAGAAATTGTCAAAAGGTTGAGATAACCAAAATCCTAATTTTGCTTAACCCAAACAAATTTTCTTCTATAGAAATATATACACACTTGAAAATAGCATGAAGAGTTTGGGCTTTTGCACAGTGGCCAGTGGCTTCAGTGTCATAAGAAAGTAATTATAGTCACAGCAATCCTGGAAGAATGGAGTATTGTTCTATTTACTCATTTTAGTAGTCTCATATATTTCCAAATTAGGGTGGGGCAGATGCAGTTAGTCTATAGCAAAAACTGATATTATTGCATAAGTTTTTAATGCAGGGCAGTCTTTAGGGCTAGGGACACATATTACATATAAACCGGTTTAAGTGATCAAAAACTGGTTTAAACCTGTAACAGAACAGATGTTCAGTGCACATAAACCAGCTTGAAAATGGCTGAAACTGGTTTGAGATCAACCAGAGTTGAATGTAGTATCAGACTTAATTGTTTTGGCTCAAAACGGTTTGTGCAAACAATGTCTGTCCAGACCCCTGGCTGGTTTAAGATAAACCAGAATTCCCCAGCATCTTGGCATACTCTCTGGGCTGGGCAGAGCTCTGCTCCACAGTAGGGCTGGCCCCTCCCCTCTGCTCCCTCGGTATAGCTCTGGCAGAGACTGCAGGTACAGCAGGGTCTGCCTGGCTTCCCCCCACTGCTAGCTGGACAAGGAGGAATTCCACTCCCACCTCCTGTATCCCACAGGCCCACAGTGGTATACTAGCTAATGCCAAGAGGTGCCTGTGTGTGAGCATCTCCATTTTCACTGGGACAGGTAGACATAATAGTGATGGCTTATGGTTTTTGGAGTTAATTAACAGGCCAGCTGGTAAGCTGTTTAAGAAGAGTTTGAACTAATGGAGAAAGGCTATTGTTTTGTTGATGAGGTGATAAACCCTGTTATCAGACCCTGCTGGTTTGTTCACCTGTCAATTTGCTGCAGACAGTATAAAGATGCAGGGAGGGAGGTTGAAAAGCTCCATACCATCAACAAATGCATGCACTGCACACCCTGCTTGCCTCAGAGTGCTAGCAGGGGGCTTGGGTCTGGTAACACTCCCGCCCCTTGAGCAGCCAATAGGAAAAAGCCTGGGATGGTGCAGGCAGACTTCCCTTATTGGAGCATCCTGCTGCAGCCTGGCCACACTCCGCTCAGCTCAGCACTACGGAAGGAAGGGAGGGCTACTCTAGCACCCCCCAGCTTCTAGCCTAAGCCACTGCAGGCATGTGCCTGAATTTCCTCAGTCCAGAGAGAATGTCTGTCTGGCTACAAACCAGTTCAGCCTAGCTAGGTTAGACTAACCTGCAAAGATTGAATCAATTCAGGCTCAGGCTTTTTGAATTTCTGCCCCTAGCCTAGAAGGACAAGTTCTAGGCCCTAGGTTGCCTGACTGAATTATGAAAGAAAAGGAAACTACCTTGACTATAAAAAAGATTTTTGCTTTACCTTCTCCCTTATTTGTGCTTTCAGTCATTTTAGTGTTTGTTACTCAAGCATCCAGTTAATCGTCAAGGAATCAGTACATACAGAGTAAAAGGTAAGGATTCTGTTTTCAGATAATATTATTTTCAATATGCTTTTCCTTGGATCACATACATGACTGAAATTTACAACCAACTGAAGAATACAATACAAAACTTGATCAACAATTTCATTTTCAGTAGTTTTCTTTCAAGTCATCATCACTGGAAACAGAATAATGAAATTCACAAATTCTCTTTTTTGCTTATTATTCAATAGAAGTTTGCAGGGGTGAGGAAAGAACATAATAGATGTTGTGTTGTTTCCAGCAATGTGTGGATTCTATAAGATTTACAGTCTTATTTTCTTGAGATGAATGAGACACATTTTCAAAAATAGGGTAACTGGATGATTTCAACAAAAGATATAAAAGATGTATTTATGCATAACTTATGTACAATTTATTCTTCCACAGTTCGCTGGCTGCCAGGTAAAGTCTTTATGAAAAGAGTTGCTTGGAAATGACTGTAGAGAATATTTGATGATGAAATAATTTTTGGCAAAAAAATCTGAGACCCGAGAAGAGTGGAGTTCTGAATTGTCTTATCTTGTGATATAATCCACACTTACAAAACATGGTTCTTGTTTATTTTCTCTAGCAGCACCTCTAGCTGCTATACCATTGACAGGTTGGAGTCTGCTCCTGCCATTTAGCTTAAACCTGTAGCTCAAGAAGTGAAGGTTCATGCTCTTAGAGTCAGAGGGCATGGGCCAAATACCCAGAGAAGACCTACCATGGATGTTTTTATAAGAGCAGGAGCTAGGCAAAAATCTTCTACAAACACACAAAAACAAACAAACAAAATGTTCTATTTTATTTTTAGAAGAAATTATGACCATAATTTGAAAGACCAAATAATGAGATGGAAGTTTATAGAGACTAAACTGTGGCCAGGTACAGACGTTAAACTTTTACCAATATAAGTGATTGGAAACTGGCCTATACCTGTAATAGAACACAAGTCTGGCGCACAGATTGCTTCAAAAATGGCAGAAGACTGGCTAAGATTTGCACACACCCTCTGCCAAAGGG